AACTAGAATTGAGGATAAATGTAAAATGAACGGTGTGCCATTTGAAATCACTAATACAAACAGAGTATATATGCTGAGTTAAGAACGTTCTTCCCAAATTGAGAGTTTTAGTTACAAAACTTACGGAAATGCAGGTAAATACGAAAATATGAAACCTCGTGTCAAGCGCGCGTTGCTTCCCGAAGACCAGAGAGTCTTTTGAGCGCAGCCTTGAAGGGCCTACTGCTAATACTATCTCCAAGTAGAGAAAGCCGCAAGTGTTCCGGTAGAGCCACTTAAATTAAGTAAGTTACGATAGGCTTCGTTGAACATGAAAACTAGTCACACTTCTGTTGGCTCAGAAACGGAGGGATTTGACTGTTCATCATCAAAAAACTTAACTGATAAGGATGTCCGTTAAGGCAATCTCTTCGTCACTGGTTTTCTTCTTCTTGTTCATGGCTCGCGTTACTACACATGCGGGGTAAAGGCCAGGAATTATCTTTTCAACTGGATCTAGAGATTTTTCTGAACCAGGCTTCTCGGTATCAATAGCATTAACGACCACTTTGTCTCCTGCAAGGTCATTTCCAAGGATAAGATGTACTCCATCGAACGGCAATGTTGATTGTATTCCAACTTTCACAGGACCAGACACAAGATCTGACGATAGGAAAACTGTATGGAGCGGCACTCGGAACTGATTCCTCTGATTAGGGCACTTACACCAGTGGACGATTTCTCAGAAAACAACAACGTGTTATTTAATAGCAAACACTGTAAGGCTCCAGTGTCTCTTAAAATCTTGATCGGTACTGAATGTGACATATCACGGGATAATGACCGTCACTGAGCCATCGTGAATAAAGGGCTCAAACATATCCATGACAGATTTAGACGAACCACTGACGTCATTTTCAGAGACTGTCTGGGTCTTCTCTCGAGGAAATCGCGGACGTGTACATTCACTTTCAGAAATTAAAGGCGACGGCTAAGCAACAAATCCATTAGGCTTCGACTTCACATCATATTTTTGCGCGGCTTTTCTGGGAAACTGGACATCGGATGACCTTCTTTTCTCCAATAATAACAGGCTGGTGGTTTGATAGGCTTATTTGGAACAAACCTGTTTTTTCCTGGTGAGGTAAAGCTGGAACGGTTAGTAGAGTTGTTACCAGGGTTCTGTTTGGGATGTGCTCCGTCATTCTGTTTACTCCTCTGGTTTCATCGTGATGCGGAAGGAGGCTGGTCTACTGTTAAGCAGACGAGGCTTTTCCATGAAGTTAACTTTGTGACTCAATGAAAATTCATCTGCTAACCGTGCAGCGTCTTCCAACGTCTTTACTCTTTGCTCGTTAGTTAACCGTCGGACATCACTGTGAATGCACTTCTTAAATTCTTCAACTAATATTAACTGTCTTAACTTATCGTGACTCTTATCTACTTTCTGTGAATGACACCAACGATCAAATAACTGTTCCTCACTCCTAGAAAATTCTATATAGGTTTGACTACTGACTTTCTCATAGTTTTTAAACTTTTGACGATAAGCCTCAGGAACTAACTCGTAGCCCTTTAAAATAAGATCCTCAACGATGTCGTAACTTCCAGCTTGCTCTACACTTAACTGTGTATATATTTCCCTAGCTTTACCAACCAATACACTTTGTAATAACATAACCCAGTACTCTTTAGGCCACTTAAGACTACTAGCTACTTTCTCGAAGTGCAAAAAGTACTTATCAGCATCTTTTTCTTGGAATGGAGGCACTAACCTAATATGCTTTGTAACCTCAAAATTTTCACTATGCTTTTCACTACCCGAGCCTAATCCTTATTTTGTTTGTAACTCTAACTTTTTCATTTCCATTTCATGCTGATATGCCGGTTTCTCTTTCTCTAGCCTCTCTTGTCTTTCCTCTCTTTCCGGTCTTTCTTGTCTCTCCTCTCTTTCCAGTCTTTCCTTTCTCTCCATTTCTTCCCGCCTTTCCTGTCTTCATGGCCAGAAATCCGAGACAGTATGTCCGCCGAGCAGGCGCATTGATACCGAATACAATCTTAGTATACAAACGCGTAATTCAAGCCGTTACAAAGAAAACAGTGAGATTTTGAGTTACCTCGGTTTATTCTCCGTTATTACATCCCTTTGGAAGCTTCAGCCCAAGGTCCAAAAATCTTAAAACAAAGTTAACATCTCGTACAACCTGAGTAATCACGTTAATATTTTCGTGGTGGTTAAACCGGTTCCCAAATCCGATCTTTCTCAGCGCAAAAATGCTTGAAATCCGCCATATGTCCTCTCTATTATCTCGCCGAGTTCCCATTTTCGCTTTTTATAGTANTACCATCAACTGGGTGTTAACAATTAATCCATAGTAGTATATATACTCTAACTAGTAATGAGAAACTTAGGAAGGTTCTATCCAGTGCCTTTTATTCTGAATCACATATCTTACTCTTCCCTCCTTTCAAAAGAAAAGAGAATAATTTGATGGGAACATATCAGTTTATAAGACAAGCCCATACTATTCTCCAGTATGTAAGTCAATGCACTGAATGTATAATGATGGTCTAGGGTTATTTGGTATTCACTTCAGTCCGTATATTTAGTTTGTGTTCTAACAATTGCATTTTTTGATGTGATTTAATTAGGAGGTGAATTTTCTTCAATGGGAGCTAGAACTAAAATATAGTTACTTGCTTGACAATGAACAAACGTGGCCTGAGAGGTTTGATGGGGTTGCTACAGAAAATGCTGCTCTGATGGTCGCCCTTCAGACAAGATCAGAAGAACTAAGGAGAGTCGCAATGGAGAAAATGAGTAAGTGGAGTGAAATGTCATTTGCAATAATGGTCCCTTGAGTGTTAATGTTAGGAGAAAATTCTTCTGGCCATGAGCTTCCTTGAAATAGGCAATGTAAACTGTAATATAAACATTAATTTTTCTAGAGCATTCTGCTATAGCCTGGGAGCAGACCATAATATTTATGTCTCAGCACAAGCATATCTATGCCAGCTACATGTAAAAGTATGAGTCCAGCGTGAGTTGGTGAGAGGTCTGTAGGGAATCCAGCAATTATAATTGATATCAAACCCCTCCACTTGGAAACCTTTTTTGAAATCATTCTACAGAGCAATAAGTACATCCGGTAGAGCTATAAGTGGGGGCCTGTTTGCAGGCTACATTATATGTAATTAAGCTGGGGGTCTGTTGTTGATCACTGGATGTTTAGATATCGCAATTCTCGTTTTATTTATTAAGAAATTGTGGTTGGACTACTTCAACAGTATTAGTGAATTATTGAAATACGGTGATTACACTTTGAGTTAACCTTCATGAATGGAAAAAAAGATCACTTTAATTTTCTCTAACCTCGTGTGTGTAATGAGTATTTTATTGGTGACTAAATCCTATTGAGGCGGGTCAGATTTAGAACTGGCCTATCTTTGATATATTGTATGTGGTATGGGGATTGATGTCAGGCAGTTGAATAGACTGATTGGAATTCTTTTGAATGTGAAAATTTTTCTGAGGAGGACGGTAAAAATAAAATTTTTGGTTTATAATAAATGTTTTTTTCTCAGCTCTCATGTGTGATCGTGATGAGCTAGCAGCTGCCTTGGAAGTTAGAGACAGAACCAAATATGATTTGAGCACTCCAGAAAGGGAAGAAATCTTGTCCACTGGAGATTTGATCGTTGAGGTTCATGTATTGTTTTGTGAAACAGTGTTTGAAGGCAATACTGTAACTTTTCAAAACCAATTCTATGTTTTTTTTAACACCTGGTCACCTTTGAACACCTTTGTCAATCCAATTTCATTTAAGCTTGTGGATATGTGAAATGTAGGAACAAGTCATGTGCGAACTTGATGTGCAAATTTTGTGGCGTTGGCACATCCTGATGGCAAACAGATAGTTCAATATGGCGGATCAATTGGCGAGGATTCTTGTGGGAATGGGGGCTCAATTCTGTTTCTTGAAATCACAGGATCATTGGTTTTAGCACAGTCAATGTATATTGTAACTTTATCGTGCAGTGTATCCATAAGTTTGCCACTGTCACTTTAATTCGAAGTTAGTTTCAGATGGATTTTGTCTTATCAATAAGGACTATATAACTTAAGGAGGCCAGTAACACTGGATCTTCTCAATCCTTATTTTCTTATTTTTCGTTTGTTTGTTTATTCATTTCATTTTCAGCTTGCAATTCTTGGTGCATGCCAGTGTAGAGGAAAAAACCAAGAGC